AGAGAGAGAGAGAGAGAGAGAGAGAGAGAGAGAGAAATAATGGTTACCTGGAACTGTTGCATCGGGTAGGCCATCATTTGTGCCGGAGGTGGTGGTGGTGGGGGTGCGGCTTGCACCCCTGGGGGTGCCGTGACCGTCGTGGCATGGTGTGGCGGTAACTGTGGTCCCCCAGGTAATCCCTGGCCCCAACCTGCTGCCGTGCCAGCAGCGTGGACACCCATTCCCATTCTGCGTTTAAACAAACGTTTTTATATACAAAATTTATATCGTTATTTATATTTAAAAAAAAAAAAAAAGAAAGAAAGGAAACAATAATAGAACGTGCGCTACGTTATAAATTTCATTATTGATGATACATTTAAAATTATTCTTAAATTAACGTTAAACATCGAACCGACCGAGTTTCATTATCGTTCCAACGTTTATATTTGAACGTTGCAACGTTTGCGAGATTTTTCGTAGCTACGCAGTTGTATGTGTAACGCGAACGCCTATTTTCTGATAATATTTTTCGCATAATTCGTGAACTGTACGAATCGAGCGAGGACGAACGAATATCGTGCAAATTCATTTCATCGAACTGGTCGAGTGACAAATTTTAAATTAAATAACAGAAACGATTCTATTTAATAAAAAAAAAAAAGAAAAAAAAAAAAATGAAACGTCCATTTAAGTTATCGTTGAAATTGATCGTGCGATCGATCGAAAATATTCGACAATTGTTCCCCCCCCTCCTCCCCCTTCTTTTTTTCTTTTTCTTTTTACGAGAACGTTTAAGGGCGTCATAACGAGGACGTTTTATTTTTCACGCGAAACGGTTTAACGTAAAATCGCACGTTCCAGATTCATGAATATATGTATCGTTACATAAAGGTCTCGAATCTTTTCTGTACAACGCACGCAACTGAAAACTTTAGGTTCTATCTAGGATGTGTTACATTACTGGTTTACAATCCTGATAATGCTCGGAAAGCATTCGGATACGGTCTTTAAGGGTGCCATTTCACGGATCGTAAGAACGTTGAAAGATATTCTCCTTGCCAGAAAGCGCACCCACTTCGTTTCTGCCGCGTAATCTCTAAAAATTGCTCGATCGGCAAATGCACAAATTCGATTTGATGCCTGTGTTAAGAGTGGAAACTAGTGTGTACTAACGGTTCGATCGAGTTGGGTGTCGCGTGAAAATTTCCCCAAAAATATATATATATATATATAATAAATTGTTACCGTTACCGTGACATTTTATTGTTTTATTTTTTTTTTTTTTTTTTACATCGATGGAAAAGCGGAAATTTTACAGAGAGTCCGATTTTGACCGATATAACGAAATTTTCGTTTATTAAATATTATCAAATAAATTTCAGATTTTTGATATTACATCACGCGCGCATAATACGTAATAATTACAGCGGCGAATGATTTCACTTATGACACAGATATACAAATTTAGCAAGCTATAGCAAGTTAAGCGTGGAAATGGAAATTCGAATACGTTTGAATTTGGCAAAGGACGTGCGAATTTACCGGTTTGAACCGGTTTGATGTATGCGATTTGAAGTTCGATTAGACAGAAGAAATTCAAACGATCGATAACAATATCGTTTGAGGAAGAAGGGAGGAAGAAATTACTTGTTTTCGAGATAAATAAAATATAGTTTCTTCGATATTTGGCGAAACCTCTCTTTTCTCTTTCCTCTCTCTCTCTCTCTGTATTTTCAAATATATCCCCCCTGCGTTATCTTATTCAAATTCTATCGACTCGTGAGGAAATAAATGTCAGGAGATATTTAAAAATAATATACGTCTGACGTTTCCTTGACTTTGATGCCGTTTAAATCCCATAGGGAGTGTAAAACGATGGGTTTCAACCCTTCAACCCCGTACGATGCACACAATTGAGAGCTTTAGTTTATTTCGAACGTGTACCATTCCTGCCTTTACAGTCTCGAGAATACTCGAGAAGCATTCGGAGCACCCACTTTAAGGGGCGTCATTTCATAGATCGTAAAAGCGTCCAAAGATATTCTATCCTAGAAATTACCTTGGCCTTTATACCATGCGATCCTTAAAACTTGTGCTCTTTTCTTCCACTGTACACGCATTCACAGGTTACGATTTAAACCCGGCCCCCGCTATTTACTATTTTTACGATACCGTCAAATTTTCAATTAAATTTATTCGCCCGTTTTTATTCGGCCACCATCTCTCAAAAAACTCTTTATTCCGATATTCTCTTATTCCGATATAAAACTTGTAAAACTCGGGTTATTATTGTTTCTCAACACTTTTTTCAAGCTCAAATTTTTTCTCCATTATTTTTCTCCTCGATTCTACAAGAGAGAGAGAGACGTTGTTCAAGAGATACGAATGCGCAATTTTCATCGGTCATTTACGGACTACTGTGTCATCAACATTAGCGGTCTACATTAAGTTCAGACGTCGTTTTAACGTTGCAAGAACTGACTTGACCTACTGAGCTTTGTACACTCGTTCGCCGTGGTGTATTGGTCGCTTAATTGATCGGGATCAACTAGACAGGACAGGATACTTAATCTACCGGTTTCAGTTTACGAAACAAAACACAGAGACGACGGTTGTTCAAACTTACATCGACTGATCGCATCGACTTCTCCCATAATTTATCCCTCGAATCGAATAAATGTTATATCGAAAACGGTATATTTTTCAAACGGTGGAAATAAGTTTCGAAACGTTACCACCGCCGATGCAGTTGTGGTTAGAAAAGTGGGGAGCACTCACCCCATGTATTGCGCCTGTTGATAGCCGGCGAACTGTCCATAAGTGTATCCCTGCATCCCTTGAAGGAAACCACCGGCTTGCATCTGTGTCGCTGTGGTGGGATAAGATTGGGGCGGGTACCAGTATCCTAGCTGGCCAGCACCGCCGACGCCACCGACGCCTCCGACACCCGCGACGCCTGCCGCCGCCGCGGCGGCAGCTGCTGCCGCCGCGTAGTATGGGTACGTCGCCGACGATAACGCCTGGAAGAGCACACCAAGATCAATGAAATAGAAAAGAGTAAAGGGCATCGCCTCCGTTTCGCGCTTAACCGTGTCAATACGGGGTTAAAAAAAGGAAGAAACACGACGATATTGGCTCGCTTTGACATCATCCTCCTTCGCGAGCCATCCATTTAGCCCTCGCTTTATTTCAACTTTAAGAAGAATTTTCCTTTATCCTCGCTCGAGAAAAACACCGCGTATATAGATAATATATAAATGTGAGAAGGGAGGAAGGAGCGAGAAATCGGAATTGGATATCCAGCGAATCGCGGCGGTGTCCGTCGGTTAATTTAGCGAGGTTAAGAAGGAGATCGAACACGAAAGCAGCGAGGGCTGCGTGGAGACGTAGGGCATGATGAGGTACGTAGTAATGCGATATCCCGGTACTCGTGGGAGAAGCGCGTTATGGGAATAGGGATCAATTAGAGCGATGTCACGGGCCGAGTAACAGTGGATGGATGGACGGAAGTGGAGGAGAGAGGGCGTACTTGGGCTAGCATTCCCAGATCGGACGTACTTACTCGTCCTACCGGCGCTAATTGCTAAGAGACCCGGCAGACACACTTTAGAGCAAGCCTCGTGAATAGACCGGAATCTTGCCCGATTCCCTGTCCTCCCCTCCTCCTTCCGTTTTTACTCGGCGCAGCCTCCCACTGCTCCACTCCACGCAAAGCCCGGATCGAGCTGGCAATCGAATACTCTAACTATTTCCTTTTCCTTTCGATATCTCGTGCAGCCTCGCCTTTCGCCATTTATTCTCGATAACGATGCGCTGGTTTCTCTTTTTTTTCTTTTACTTTTCTTTCTACTTCTGCTTTCTACACACGCGTTGTAGCGACGAGGAGGGCTAGAAATCGCTCTCTACCCCCCTCTCCGTGAAATCGTCTAATCTAGTTTTCAATTAGAACGCTTACGAAGCGGATACGCTTCGATCGAACAGTCTTATACGATAACGCGTTTGCCAAGATATCTCAATTCCTGATTCAAACCGAATTCTAGTTCTAGTTCAAAGTAGACTCGCTACTAATTGCTACCATCCTTGGCCACATACCGACAAGTTAAAACATAGTTCGAGCGTGAATTTCTCCAAAGAGATAGTTCCTTCCTAAATTCGTACATTCGTTCGAAAACCTTTTTAAATCTCCGATCAACTCCGTTCTCGAAATTTTCAAAGGATTTTTTCGAATCGAATCGACCGAGCGAAAAGGTGATTCGATCTTAAGATCGTTCCAACCTCTAATCCCCAATTTCTCCCGCGTCGAGAGGGTTCGATAAAAGATCGAACGTTTACCTGTCCAGTTTGTTGAGCATTGTTCGGGTCCCCGCTCTCCTTGCCCCAGCTACACTTCACCGTTTGACCATTGATGTCGGTGTTGTGAACCGCCACAATAGCGTGTGTCGCCGATTCTTTGGTAGAAAACCTGAAATACAACCACGAATCTCGGATTAGAATCTCGGATACCGATTCCCTTCCATCCACCACAACCACCGTCACGCTTACCAATAATTTTAACCTCCAACTCTCGTCTCGATTATTTCGAAAAGATCTATCCTCTTTCGTTTTATCGACCGTTTTGTCCTCTGCAATGTACGGTCGATACAGAGTGTTACGCGCACGGTAAAACAGGAATCTGTAGACGACCATACGCGGGAGAATAAATATCGGGGCTCGATCCCGATCCCCATCTTTTCCGTTCTTTTTCCGCCAGTTACACGCAAGACCTTATTATCGGTAGCTTTAACGAAACGGTCGCCGCCCTCTCGCCGACTCTTGCAGTTTAATTTATACGAGTTTACCGTGCGCACGAATAACCACGATAATTGTGAATCCCCTCCCCCTCCTCTTCTCTCCCCGAATCTAGATTATACCCGTGGATCTAGGGGCTCCACGTTGAATCGTAGTTTCGCGTATATATCCCGCTACTTTGAATTTCATACAGTTTCAGGGGAGAGCGTAGTCAAAGTGTATCGGCCATGCGAAACAAACATCCCCCTCCTCTCGCCGCGATATTATCGTTCCCTCGATAACGACCGAGTTAACCGCGCGTGTGCCTCTCTCCTCCCCCCCTTTCTATCCTTCTTCACCTTCCTCGCTTTCGTCGCTCGACGCGTTATTTATCCATTTATTCGTTTATTATTGGAAGAGGAGGGGAAAAAAAAAAAAAAAAAAAAA